AATTTATTTCTAGGTAGGTTTTTGGTTTTGATACTGTTGTGAATGTATAGTTTCCTTTATTTTTCCCAAATATTTCATTTTTACTGTACAGGAGTGTAGCTGGATTCTGTATGTTGATTTTATATCCTGCAACTTTATTGAATTTGTTGATTAGTCCCAACAGTTTTGTTGTTTTTTAAATTGAACCTTTGAGATTTTCTATATACAAAATCATATTATCTGCAAATAATGACAGTTTTACTTCTTCCTTTCCAATTTGGTTACCTTTTCTTTGTCTTGCCTGACTGCTGTAGCTAGGACTTCCAATATTATACTGAATAAAAGTGGTGAGAGTGGGCATCCTTGTCCTGTTCCTGATCTTAGAATATATTAGGCATGAGTTTGTTGTATATGGCCTTTATTATATTGAGGTATGTTTCTTCTGTACACAGTCTGTTGATGTTCTTCCTAGTGAAAAGATGCTGTATTTTGTCAAATGCTTTTTTGCATCTATTGAGATGACCATGTGGTTTTTATCTTTTGTTCTATTAATGTGCCATGATACACATTGATTTGCATATGTTGATCCATCCTTGCATCCCAGGGATAAATCTGTTGGTCATGGTGTATAATCTTTTCAGTATGTTCTTGAATTTGGTTTGCTAATATTTTGTTGAGAATTTCATGGGTCTATTGGTCTGCTGTTTTCTTGTAGTGCCCTCATTTGTCTTTTGTAGCAGGGTAATGTTGGTCTTCTAGAAGAAGTTTGGAAATGTTCCTCATCTTCAGTTTTTTGGAAGATTTTGAAAAGGATTCGCATTAGTTCTTTAAATGTTTGGTAGAATTCACCAGTGAAGCTGTCTGGTCCTGGGGTTTTCTGTGTTGGGAAGCTTTTGATTACTGATTCAATGTCTTTACTTGTTGGTCTGCATCTATTTCTTCCTGATGCAGTCTTTGCAGGAATGTTCCACTTTTTTCTCAGTTATGTAATTTGTTGGCATATAATTGTTTATAGTCATTAATGATCCTATATATTTATGTAGTATCAGTTATAATGTTGCCTCTTTCAATTCTAATGTTATATATTTGAGTCTTCTCTCTTCTTAGTTAGCTAAAGGTTTGTCAATTTTATCTTTTCAGAAAACCAGCTTAGTTTTGTTGATCCTTCCTATTGTTTTCCTGGTCTCTATTTCATTTATTTCCATTCTACTCTTTATTATTTATTTCCTTACTTCTGCTAGCTCTGGGCTTAATTTGTCCTTTTTCTTTTTCCTTGAATTATAAAGTTAGGTTGTTTGAGATCTAATTTCTTATTATATACATTTATCATAAACTTCCCTCTCACAACTACTTTTGCAGCATCCCATAGGTTTTGGTGTGTTGTGTTTCCATTTTCCTTTATTTTGAGATTTAAAAAAATTTCCCTTTTGATTTATTCTTTGACTCATTGGTTTTTCAGAAGTGTGTTGTTTACTTCCCACATATTTTTAGATTTTCCATCTTTCCTTTTATTGTTACTAATTCCATACCACTGAGGTCAGAAAAGATGAAATTATTTCACTCTTTTGAAGTTTGCTAAGACTTGTTTTGTGTCCTATCATATAATCTATCCTGGAGAATATTCCATGTGTACTTGAGAAGAATATGTAATCTGCTGCTGTTGGATGGAATGTTCTATATATGTCAAATTCATTTGGTCTAAAGTATGGTTCAGTTCCAAAATTTCCATGTTGATTTTCAGTCTGGATGATCTATCCATTGCAAAGTGGGGTATTGAAGTTCTCTATTACAGTTGTTTCTTCTTATCCAAGTTTTGCTTTCCATAGCTTTTTTAATCCATCTAGCCATTCTGTGCCTTTTGATTGGTGACTCCAGTCAATTTACATTAATTGATCATTGATATGTAAGGCCTTACCACTGTCATCTTTTTTTTTTTTTTTTAATACCTTTATTGATTTCAAAGAGAGAAGGGGAGAGGGGGAGAGAAACACCAATGATGAGAGTCACTGATTGGCTGTTTCCTGCACGCCGCCGACTGGGGATTGAGCCTGCAACCTGGGCACGTGCCCTGACTGGGAATTGAACCATTGTCTCCTGGATCATAGGTCGAAACTCAACCGCTGAGCCATGCCGACCAGGCACTGTCGTGTATTGAATGCTTTCTGGTTGTTTCGTATTTACATTGTTTCATTTTTCCTCTGTTTCTGCCTATTTTTGTAAATCTGTGGTTTTCCATGGTGGTATAATCTGCTTCCCCTTTTTTTTTGTTTCATGGATCTAGTCTTGTGGTTACCATGAGGCTTACATAGGACCTAGATAATAGTCTGTTTTGTGCTGATAGCAACTTAGCTTCCCTTTCCTTTAAAAGGCTCCACCCTTTTACTCCTCCCCTTTTGTTTTGGTATTTCAGTTTACTTTTTTTTGCTGTCTTTTGTTAACGAATTTTAGTAGCTATAGTTTTTTTACTACTTTTTCTTTAACCTTTATATAATAAGTGGTTAACACACCATTCTATTATAGAGTTTCTATATCTGACTATAAATATTCACCTTTACCAGTGCGTTGTGTACTTTTGTATGTTTTTCTGTTGCTCATTAGTGTCTTTTTGTTTCAGCTTGAAGGATTCCTTTCACTATTTCTTGCAAGGCAGGTGTAGTGGTAATAATGAACTTGCTTAGCTTTTGTCTGTCTGGGAAAGCCTTTATTTCTCGTCACATCTGAAAAATAACTTTGCCATTTAAAGTATTATTGTCTGTCAGTTTTTCTTTTAGCACTTTGAATTCATCATTTTGTTCTTGGCCTTAATAGTAATAAATTTAAATATTTTTATTTATTAATTTTAGAGAGGGAAAGAGAGAAAAATCAATTTGTTGTTCTACTTACTTAAACATTGAGAGAGAGAAAGAATCGATCGGTTGTTTCCTGCACGTGCTCAGACTGGGGATTGAACCCGCAACCTGAGTATGTGCCCTGACTGGAAATTGAACCTGCTACCTTTTGGTGTATGAGACAATGCTCCAACCAACTGAGCTACACCGGCCAGGGTGGCCTTTAGAGTTTCTCCTGAGAAATCTTCTGCTGGCCTAAGGGGTTCCCATGTAGGTTATTTTTTGCCCCCTGGCTGCCTTTAGTAGTCTTCCATTGTCATTGATTTTTGACAGTTTCGTTATAATTATCTTGGAGAAGTCTTATGTGCATTGAGATTATATGGTGGATTATCATGTGGTGGACTTGTAAGTCCAAGTCCATTCCTAGGTTTGAGAAATTCTCAGCTATTATTTTTTTAAAATTAAATATTAACTTTAAGCACTCTGCCCTCTTTTCCTTTCTTGTTCTGAAATACCAGTTATTCAAATATTTGCCTAATGAAACCTGATAGCTCTCATTGGCTTTCTTTACTCTTTTTAAATCATAGTTCCCTCTCCTCTTTTAACTGTATTAATTTCTATACAGTTAACAGGGTTATGGGAGCCAAAAATCCACGTATAAATTAATTCTGCGCCCGGCCGGGCGTGGCTCAGCGGTTGAGCGTCGATCTAGGATCCAGGCGATCGGGGTTCGATTCCCGGTCAGGGCACATGCCTGGGTTGCGGGCTGCAGCCAATCAATGACTCTCATCATTGATGTTTCTCTATCTCTCTCTCCATCTCCTTTCCTCTGAAATCAAGAAAGATATATTTTAAAAAAATAAATAAATAAAAATAAATTAATTCTGTTCTCCACATCCACAGATTCTCAACTGTGGATTGAAAATAAAATACAGTTGCCTCTTGAACAACTTGGGTTTGAATTGTGCAGGTCTTGGTTCTGCCTTTTATTAGTTGACAGCCTTGGCAAGTTACTTAACCTCTCTCATCCTTGATTTCCTCACCTATAAAATGGAGATATTAGTCTTTTATATGGAAAGTGGGTATAAAATTTAGAAATGATGTAGTACAGAGCTCAAACTATATAGTTTATTTTGCACCTGTCAGGTGGAAGAAGTTCTTAATCCTATCCAAAGAGCACTTCTCTTATCCCCAGAACCTTGCCTGCCATCTACCTACCTGTTTGCTCAAGCCAAAACCTATGTGTACTTCTTCATTCCTTTTTTCTTTTATTCTTACCTCCCACTTCCATCAATCCCTAAAGTAATCCTTCTGATGTTGATATTTTCTGAATTTATTAATTAGGTTGAACCATATGGACTTGCTAACAAACTTGGCACGTATGAGTCAGTGATTTGACACAGTGTAGTCGAATCATTTCTGCCTCCACGGATGCCACACAAGCCTTCTCATATTCTGACCAGCCTCCTATCTGGACTCTGCCTCTAGTCTTCTCTAGTCTGTTCTCCCCATAGCATCCAGCATCCATTCTAGTTTTTAACATGTAAATCAGAATCTGGCACTTGCTCAGAACTCTTCAAATTTGGGAGTATTCATAATAATGGCCTGTTGGTATATAGGAAGAAAATATTAAAACTTTAATATGTTTTTAAAAGTTCACCTCAGTTTGTTGTATGGTGGCAGTAGTGGTGTGTGTGTATGCTTATTTTTATATCATGTATTGCTAATACAGTATATGATTGGTTTGTTGATCATGATCTAAAAAATTTATAGACTACAGCTGTTAGGTCTAGATTTTAATTAAATATTCAGTTAATTTTTCAAGCCAAATTCTGTGTGTCTTATTAGATGCCTCTATTATCTGTTCCCCAGATCTAGTTTCTACCTGAAGTCCTCATGATTGTCTCCACAATATCTGTGAGGCTAGTTGGACACCTTTGTCTTTGTCTGGCTTATAAACTTAAAGAACAGATATTGTCTTTGTCTTTCTTGGTTGCTCGGGACTTAAGTACCTGAATAAATATCTCAACTTCTATAATGAACTCCTGTGAAAAAATATTCAGACTTTTTAAACTAATGGGTAACAGCAGTTAATAAAAGGAGGATATGAACTAAGTAAATGTTTCACTATAATATTAATTTAAGATTTGCAATTAAATATTAAAACTAACTCTGACAATTATATTCTAATAGGCAATCCCTCTCGGAGACCGAAGTCTGTGCCATCTCGTGATTTATGCAGTTCGGATAAAGGACAAGTAAATCTCTTTATATTTTTATATATTCAAACAAATTACTCATGGTTCATATCAATCAGTTAACTGACGTAAGTTTCTAAACCATTTATGAAGGAGGCTTTTTAGTTAATCTTGTACATGTTTTCTATATAACACCAAACACCAGTCATAGATCCTATAATAGCAGAATCTGGCTTTTGGAAGTAAGTTTAAATTTTAGCTGCTTGAAATGTTCTTACATGTCTTAATAACCTGAGAGCTTCTTGTCCTTACAGACTGCTTCACCCAGAGAGCCCCCTGAATCAGTGGATTTCCCAGATCCTGAATATAAAGAGGAGTATGAAAGAGAGGAAAACGAAGAACTTCAGGGGGAAATCAGTCATCCTGATGGAAAGGTAAGAATTAAAAATATGTATAGTATAAAAAATAAACTAGTTAAAATAGAGTTGAAGCAGTTTGATTCTAAAATAATTGATCTTTAAGACTGTTGATGGGGGCTTAAGAACGTTAGTACCTTGGGGCATGGCCTTGGCTTGAATCTTTGGACTCCTCTAAAAATGCTCAGTATATAATATGCATTAGTTGCCATTTCTGGTTTAGAGATGCAGCAAAAGGAAGAACACAGTCCCTTTGTCCAAACCCTTTGTTCTTCCTTAGTACACAACTAAAAGCCTCAGGTCATGAGGAAAGCCTTACCCTCCCCCTGCAGCCTTTCCTAAATAATGTGTCGGGGATCAGGTACCTCTCTCCATTGTCAGCTTGCAGTTTTCTCCCTTGCCTAGGAAAGGTTGTGAGGGTGAAAGCTGCTGCCTGGCTTCGAGTTGCAGCTCGAAGAGGGAATGAGAAGGAAGGGATATAAACAGGGTTTGTTCCTAGGGAGGGGATAAGGGAATTCTTCCTCAGCTTCATAAAAAACTTCTCCAAATACCCTAACCTGATCCATTTTAATTGAAATTGTAAGGCCCAAGTTCACTGCTAGTCTTGAGGAATGAGGGAAGGACAGAGAACAATTCAAAAGGAAACAATAGGTTGACTTTTCCTGTGCAAACTCTGCTTTAGCAAAACAAACTGTTGATGAGGAAAGCTTTTATGTTGAATTCCAGCTAATAAACAGAAAGGGAGTGAGAAAATTAGGGAATCATAAGATTGCAACCTCTGATGAAGGAAAGGATCTAGGCAGCAGTCATCAGTGACTCCTGAAACCCTAGGTGAAAGGTTGATGGCTTCCTGGTAGTCCTTACTGATGTGACCCAGTCAGTCCTGCAGTCAGGGGGACACTGCGTATTGTACTTCTGAACGTGTGGCCATAGGAAGCTCACAGCAGCTCCTACAAAGTATTCTTGTCAGAATAATTCAACTGGAAGTTAATCATGCCTTTAGATCTAACTACTAGTCTTAGGAAATATATATGGGCTAAGAGAAACATGTTAGACAGTCATGGGAAAGCAATCAGCTAAACATAGAATGTGAGAAATTTTACATGTTCAGTGACACAGTTCCTTCAACAATTGGCATTAAAAAGGGGGATAGGAGGTAGGTGACTGTTAAAAATTGAGATTTAAGAGACATATGAACTAAGGGTGTGGGACCTGGTTTTGATCCTGATTCAAATGAACTGTAAAAAGCCTTTTTTGTGAATTTAAGGAAAACAGTGCAGATGGTTGTGATATGAAAGTGATAGTTTGTGAGGGGCGATAACGGTTTGGTTATGTTAATAAAAACCCTTTCATTACAGGTATTTATAGGCGGTGCCTGCAGTTTGCTTTAAAAAATTCCACCAAGAGGAGTTTGGGAGAATCAGGGACATAAGGATGGTGATGTGTTGACACTTGAAGTTGATTGTTACAAGTTTATTAACTTTTCTCTCCTTTTGAGAGAATGTTTTTCTTTTTATTATGAAAAATTTCAAAGTAGGCAATTAGGAAGAGAATGAGGGATCTTTTTGTCCTGTGGTCTCAGGAGGAAATCCTATGTATTGATAATGTTTTCCTTTTTTGTAGATAGAGAAGGTTTATAAGGATGGGTGCTGTGTTATATTGTTTCCAAATGGAACTCGAAAAGAAGTGAGTGCAGATGGAAAGACTGTCACTGTCACTTTCTTCAATGGTGATGTGAAGCAGGTCATGCCAGATGACAGAGTGGTAGGTTCCTCCAGGGCTGGTTTTCTCGTAGTATAAGCATCTCTGAAGAAAAGGTATAGTGACTCTGTGTCTTTACAGATCTACTACTATGCAGCTGCCCAGACCACTCACACTACTTACCCTGAAGGACTAGAAGTCTTGCATTTCTCAAGTGGACAGATAGGTAAAAACTTGCCCTGCCCTTTCTCTATTAAATTCTGTCCTTTAAAAATAAAATATTTATAATAACCTTTTTAAAACAGAAAAACATTTCCCAGATGGAAGAAAGGAAATCACATTTCCTGACCAGACTATCAAAAATTTATTTGCTGATGGACAAGAAGAAAGCATTTTCCCTGATGGTACAATTGTCAGAGTACAACGGTATGATACCTGTTAAATTTGTTACTAGGTTTTCCAGTTTTCATGGTTCAACTTTTATTACCAGTTAAATTTTTAAAATCTTAACTTAAAACATTTGTGTAAATCACTGAAAATTTCAGTGAATTTAGAAGTGAGCAAAGAAAGAGAGCAGGTGAGAAGTGTGCTCAGCCTTTTGGAGTTAGAACTAGTTTGAGAGAAACAGATCCTAATATATAGTCTTTAGCCTTGAGATGTAAAAGGAGTCTACACAGCACGTCAGGAAAGGAGAATGGCAAGTATTTGTTTAGAAATAAATTTGGCGAAATTTGAAGAGAGTGAATGAGACACAGAAGGAAAAGCTGCCCCGTCAGTTTTAAAGGATAATCTAACTAGCCACCATGTTTAAGTCAAACTTTCTCCTCTGGCTTGTTTTCATTTTCTTCATCTCCCTATCCAGCTTGTAAGCACTTTTCTCCTCTGGCTACCCTGACCCCATCCTTTAAAATCAACAGTCTTTCTTTCCTTGAGTGTCCTATTTCTAGAAGTTAGAGACTTCTTTAAATGACTTCTTCAGCCCCCAGTAATGAGTATCTTTTATCACCATTTTAATTCAAACCATGGTGAAGGTCTGTCAAGCTTCCTCTCCTAGAGACAGTTAAGCACCCATTAACATGAACATAACACATACATGCATTGAACTAACTTGAATTCTATGATATAAACTCCCCTCCCCCAAGTAAGTAGAAACACTAATTTTTTATCTGGTGCTTATTAAATAGCAGTTTGTTCCAAAATTGGAGGAAAACCTTATGTGTACATTATACTTTGAAAGTTTGAACTTTTATACAATAAAAAGAGAATATGAAAACTCCTTGGACTCATCTCTCCATCTCATCTGCCCTCATATCCCTGTATTTTGGGTCCAGTGTGAATGTCCCAGATACAGGGTAAAGTAGTCAACTTGGTATTAACTATTTTCCATATTCTACTTCGTAACTGGCCTCAGGTCTGATCATGCCCCTTCCCTTCTCCAGCCTGATGCAAATAAGCACTCAGGTGGCTTTTAAATTTGAAGAGAATAAAGGTCAAAACTGAAAGCTATATTTTAACATAGTGCCTGAGTTTTTAGAGGCAGGACACATATAAATTTAAACAACAAAGAAACCTAAGCATTTTGTGGTGAATGCATCAATTTATTTAAAAAAATTTTTTTTATAAGTATTTTATTTGTATGCCGCTGCCGCCAGTGTATATAAAATAATCATCCTTGTGAAACAGAAATTCATGAAAATTCGGAGAGATGTTAAGGACTGACAAAAGCAGAAGTTTGTACAGTATGGCACATGTTATAGGGTAAGCTTTTTGTACAGGCTTCAATTTCAGCTCACTTTTCTCAAGAAAAGTGCTTTAGGACACCTTCAAAGATTCATTTTACTACAAAAAGGAATAGACTTTCTGGGGTCTGAAGGGATTGATACTTGAAGATACTCCAGTCAGCAGGGGGTCGTGTTGAGCATTCTGCAGACAGAATTGTTTCAAATCTGCAGCTGCCTGGGAAACCGGTCTTGATGCTTTTTCAGTTCCCTGGTTGTAGGGGTGTTGTTCGGCCAGATTTCGGGAGGTTCTGAGTGATGGTGGTTCTACATTTTGGTTGTAATTTTGATGTGGTTGCAGGAGGCAGCAGGTACAACTGTTACCTATGCAGCCATCTTCTTTCCTCTCCCTGCATCAGTTTATTTTAAAAAACCTTTTTATGGGTACATTTAAGTGTTAATTTAATAATTGGAATTATCCACCTGTAGCAGGAACACTGGAAGAATTTGCAAAGAAAGTTCTGTGCAGAGAAGAGACAAGAAATTAAATTCTATTTTAAATTTACAGAGATGGCAGAAAACTCATAGAGTTTAATAATGGCCAGAGAGAAGTACACACTGCCCAGTTCAAGAGACGTGAGTATCCAGATGGCACTGTTAAAACTGTCTATGCAAATGGTCATCAAGAAACAAAATACACATCTGGTCGAGTAAGAGTTAAAGACAAGGATGGTAATGTTCTAATGGATACAAAGTTGTAATAATCCTGTGTGTGTGACTAATCATGAAATAACACTAACTTGATTCTTGTTAAAAAATGTACATTTCTTGTGGATTTTGTGGTTTAATTTATATATGTATATATGTTGTGTGTGTATAAATGGAAAAGATTGTTTGGAATATAAAATAAAATTTACAGCTTTAGTTTGAGATGCACAAGGACTTTTTTAAAAATTTATCTTTACTGTTGAAGGTATTACAAATGTCCCCCTTTTCCCCTCATTGATCCCCTCCACCCTGTACCCCTTCCCCCAGGTCCCACCATGCTGTCTTAAAGGGTAAGGGATCCTTTGTTTTTACAGCTGCATAGTATTTCATGGTGTAAAAGTCCGAGAAGATGCTTGATATGATTTCAGTCTTCTTGAACTTGTAGAGACTTGTTTTGTGTCCTAACATGTGGTCTATCTTTGAGAATGTCCCATGTGCACTTGAGGAGAAGGCCTATTCTGCAGCTTGGAATGGAATGTTCTGTAAATGTCAATTAAATCCATCTGACCTAGTGTGTCTAATTTAGAGTCACTGTTTCCTTGCTGATTTTTTGTCTGGAAGTCTTATCCAGTAAAATCAGTGGGGTGTTAAAGTCCCCTCCTGTGACTGTATTGCTATAGATCTCTCCTTTAAAGTCCTCCAAAAGTTTTTTTTTCTTTCTTCCCAGCCTTTGTGAGCCTTTTGTTCTGAGGTGGGACTCTTATAGACAGCATAGATTTGGGTCTTCTTTTCTTATCCATTCAGCTACCCGATGTCTTTGGATTGGGACACTTAATCCATTTATATATAAGGTTATTATTGATACTTATCTATTGCCATTTTATTTCTTTATGCTTATGTTTCTCTCTATTTCAACTTATTTCAGCAGTCCCTTTAACATTTCTTGCAATGCTGGTTTGGTGGTGGTAAACTCCTTTAGCCTTTTTTTGTCTGGGAAGCTCTTTATTTCACCATCTATTTTGAATGATAGCCTTGCTGGATAGAGTAGTCTTGGTTTCAGATCCTTGTTTTGCATTACCTTGAAAACTTCATGCCATTCCCTTCCAGCCTGTAGTTTCTGATGAGAAATCAGCTGACAGCCTTATAGGAGCTCCTTTGTAGGTAACAGATTGCTTTTGTCTTGCTGCCTTTAATTCTGTCTTGAATTTTTAGCATTTTAATTATGATGTGTCTGGGTGTGGACCTCTTTGGGTTCTTGCTTGGGACTCTCTGTGCCTCCTGAACTTGTGTGACATTTCCCTTGACCAGGTTAGGGAAGTTTTCTGCCGTTATTTCTTCAAACAGGTTCTCTAACCCTTGCTAACTTTCTACTCTTCTGGCACTCCTATGATGTGAAAATTGTTACGTTTCTTGTTGTCTCACAGCTCCCTTAAATTGTCCTCCTGGTTTTTAATTGGGATTTTTCTTTTTGGATCTGTGATTCAGTGATTTTTTTCTAACCTATCTTCTAATTCGCTGATGCAGTCCTCAGCTTCCCCTAATCTGTTGTTTATTCCTTCCAATATATATTTTTTTATTTCTACTTTGTCATTCTTGATTTCCTTCATAGTTTCTGTATCGTTTTTCATGCTGTTGAGCATCTTTATGATCAGTATTCTGAAGTCTCTGATAGATTGCTTCTCTCTTTCATTTAGCTCTTCTTCTGGAGAGTTCATTTTGTTCTTTCATTTGGGGCTTGTTTTTTTTGTCTCCCCATTTTGGCTGCCTATTTGGATCTGTTTCTATGTATTAGGTAGATCTGCTAGGACTCCCAGTCTTTTGGATCGTCTCTGGTGCAGGCAAATTTCAGACACTATTTGTGACTGGCCTTGAGTACCGTTTGAAGTTTTCCACACTCCACAGCTTCTGGTTCCCTCTGGTGGGGCTGCGTGTGTTTGGACAGGGCAAAGATGAGCACCAAGGTCTGCTTTTTCAAGACCTGGGTCCAGAAGCAAATCAGGCAAAGACTCAAAGCACCCAGAAGTTGTTACTCAGCCTGTTAATGAGACTCAGGCTGTAGAAACTTCACCAGGGTGGGGCCAGAGGTTTTCCAGCAGAGTGGGGTCAATTGCTTCCCCTCCAGGCAAAAGCTGCTTAGAAGGTAAATGTCTGCCTGAGAAAGATGTCCTCTGCAGTATGGGGGAATCACTGCACTGGGTTCCAGATAGGTGCCCTCTTAGATCTATTCCCCCCAGCCAGCCTCCCTGGATTCTTCTCATACTTCTCCAATCCACTCTGCCTTCCCTCTGCTGGAGCCCAAGGTGAGTAGCTGCACATGAAACTTTGTATATTGGCCCTTTAAGAGGGTGCCTGCATTTCCAGCCATCTCTCCCTGGCAGACAGAAACCCTGCTGCTTTTCACAGCCAGATATTAAGTGGGCACCTTTCTCAGTTCTGGTGCTCTGGGCTGGGGAGCCCAGCTTGGGGTTCAGACTCTAGAGTTCTCAGTGGGAATCCCCCATAGCTAAGATACCCCTCCGGACCTTCAGTTGTTGCTTATGGGAGCCGGGTCAAGCCTCTCGCGCCTCCACACTTCCTACCAGTCTCTATGTGGTCTTCACTTTTGCTCCTTGGTTATGAGGGTGCTCTCCAGCTAATCTTCTGTTGCATTTGATTATTCAGGGTGGTTTTTCTGTATTTTAGTTGTAATTCCAGTTTGGCCCTAGGAGTGTGTCAGCGTAGCTTCTATTCAATCCACTACCATCTTGGATCTCCAGCTTTCATTTTTAATTCACCTACTCTATAGTTAAACACCTAAGGAAAGATTATTTTGTTATAAACTATATAAACTTTAAAAATAACTGGGTGCTTTTATTGGTTGGAGATCCTTATAAAAAAAATAAGTATGCCTGGTTGGGTGGCACAGTTGGTTGGAGCGTAGTCCTGTACACCAAAAAGATTGTGGGTTCGATTCCTGGTTAGGTGTGCATGCCTAGGTTGTGGGTTCAGTCCGTGGTCGGGGTGCATATGTTTCTCATATCAGTGTTTCTCTGTCTCTTCTCTAAAATAGTCCATAAATACACCCTCAGGTGAGGATTTTTTTACAAAGTACAAGATCTACAGCTTTTCCACTGGACGTCAGCCATAGAACAAGAACTTGTACAGAAAGTTTACTCAAGGAATAAGAATTTTACCAGTCAAAATATTACTAGGTTTAATTAGTATAAAAATTAAAGCATTTTATCTATTGCAGAAGTTCTTTAATTGTAATCGAATGGGAAGATAAAACAGAATAGTTCATTCTATGAGTACAGATGAACTCAGAGTGAGGAGAAAGCAGTTATAATGAGGGCGACGGTGTAACTGATCAAAATGTAACACTTGAGAGTGGAGGGGGCAGAGCTGATTGGCCACACGTACCTGGATGTTGTGTGACCTGTAAGATAGTTGGCTGACAGAAACAAGATGTCCTTGAAGGAAGGGCAAGTCACCTACATGTAAATTTATGTAATTATAAGTGGGTCTAGTCACTTAGTGCAGTGTAACAATAGTGTTGGCAATGACTCAAAAATTTTTAAAAATTTTTTGTTCTCACCCAGGGATATGTTTATTGATTTTGAGAGAGAGAGAGAGAGAGAGAGAAACATTGATCAGTTGCCTCTGGAACCCACCCAACCAACCCACAATCTAGGTATGTGCCCTGACTAGGAACTGAATCTCTAATATTTTGGTGTATGGGATGATGCTCCAACCAACTGAGCCACATGGCCAGGGCAGCAATAACTCAACAGTTTAAAAAAAGCTTAATGTATTAATTTCAGGTGATTTAAGAACTGAATATGAAGAAAGTTTAAAACTTTTTAAAGAAAATAAAAGATATAATTACCTCAGGATAGAGAAGGGTTTTTTTTGTTTGTTAATCCTCACCCGAGGATATTTTTCCATTGAGTGGAAGGGAAGGGGGAAGAGAGAGAGAAAAACATTGATATGAGAGAGACACATCAATTGGTTGTCTCCTGCACTCACCCCAGTTAGGACCAGGAATAGAACCTGAGACCCTTCAGTGCATGGAATGATGCTCTTAACCACTGACCCATACCAACCAGGGCAAGAAGGATTTTTAAATGTGACACAGAAAGCCACAAAAAAGTGACATAAAGATGCCACAAAAATAATAAGCCGCAAAGTAGGAAAAGATACGTATACCTGACAAAGGATTAATATCCAGAATATATAAAGAATCCTACAAATCAGTAAGATAATTACAAACAACTGAATAGAAAAATGGAGAAAGGATATGAACAAACAATAAACAAGTGACTATAATGGGCTACCTTTATTACTTGTACCATATATTGCAAATAATGGTCTGGCCACCATATGTTGGCATGGAACTGGTGATGGGGTAAACTGGTAAAACCCCCTTTTGGAAAGCAATTTTACCCATGATCTTGTACTACTAAGTATATACACTAGAAAACCCCTCACATGTACACAAGGGCTCCTACAGAAGAATATTTATAACTGAGAAAAAACTGGTAACAACCTAAAAATATCTAGCAACAGAATAAATTATGTGCACAGATGGATATAATAGTGAAAGTGAATAAAATATACCAATAGGGATAAGTAGTGGAAATAAAATAGGAAAGTGTAGATAATTGTGTGACACTGTACACATTTAAAAATATACAGAGCAACACTATCTTGTTTAGGAATGCATTGATAGACAGTAAAAAAATTATAAAGATTTACGTAAGAATGATAAACATCCCTTAACCCTAGCACTACACGTAATCATAAAACTAACTCTAACTTTATAACCATAACCATAAGCATAACCCAACATTAATCCTAACCCAATAATGCTAAACTTCACCCTAACCATAACACTAATCTAAACCCTATAACTCTAACCCTAGACCTAAAACTAGAACCTTAACCCTAAACCTTATCCTATCCCAATAAACCTAAAACACTAACCCAAACCCTAACCCTAATCATATTCACCACGCTAACCCAAACTCTACCCTTAAACCTAACCCTAACCCTAACCCTATCCCTATAACCCTAACACTAACCTTAATATTAACCCTATCCCTATAACTCTAACCCTGACCCAAACCTGAATTCTAACAACCATATAACCCTAAAACTACCAAACACTAAACCCTAATCATAACCTTAACTCTAACCCAAAAACCCCAACACTAACCCAAACACTAACCCAAACCATATAAACTTAACCCTGATAGAAACCCTAACCCTGTATTTCTAACCCTAACCGTATAACACTAACCATAAACCTAAGCTTAAAACCAAAATCCCTAACCCTACTCTGACGCTAACCCCAATCCTAACACTACCCCTATAACCCTAAAGCTAACCCTAACCCAAATGCTAACCTTAACCCTATAACCTTAACACTAACCCTAAAAAGAACCCTAATTTTAACCCTAGAACCCTAACCCTAAAGCTTACCTTATAACCCTAAACCTAATTCTAATCATAACCCTAAACATAAACCCCCAAACCCTATCCCTAATCTTAACCCTATAACCCTAAAATTAGTTTGAACCCTAAACCTAATCATAACCCTAACTTTAACCAATAACCCAGCTCTAAAACTAACTCTGTTAATTATATAAACTTAACCCTAACACAAACCCTAACCCTATAACACTGACCCTAATCATATAACACTAACCATAGCCATAATCCTAATATTATAACCATAACCCTATAACCCTAACTCTAACCCCAACCCTAACACTAACACAAACAAACAAATGAATGATTAACATCCAATTAACAGCAGCATTCACCTCTACAGGAAAAAGAATGATTGAGGAAGAGGTACTACAGCAGGTGCCTACAACTGTACTGATAATGTCTTATTTCTTAAGCTGAATATACATTAATTATAACATGAACCAAAATGTTTTCCCCCATGGACCTAAAATATTTCAGAATTATAGGAATACAAAATATCTGAAAGCAAATATTTATTGACTATTTTTCAAACAATTCCTAACAGTTCAACATATAAGGGGGGGAGGGGAAGCAGCCAGCATTATTGCAGAACAAATCAAGAAAAACAAGCCTGAAATGGTCTACATACAACAGAAAACTTTCTTCTGGGCTGTATACCTGAAAAACAAAATGTGTATGATTTAAACTTTTGCTTAATGCTAATTTTCAAATCTAGTTTCTGAATCACTTTATGTGAATGGATAAAGACAAAAAGTTAGCTGGTTACCCAAGTACTTTGATAACTTAGTTACTAGGACATTGATTATTCAACAGTGCTATAAGCATTCCATTACAGTTACGTGCTTAAGTTATTTATAGTGCCCCTTTTCTTCTTTCTTCGCACCCATAACTACTTTGTACTAGGAACAGTCATGAGAACTATTTCAAGCATTCTTACACTTAAGAAACCTCTGATACTGGCACTCAATGGTGAGAGGGCCTATGAAGAAGAAACCTAGGAGAGATTCTTGTTGAGCTGTTGTCATTCCTAAAGGAAATCCAAATGTGCCTTTATGGACAACTTAGCATTAATCTTGGCTGTGTTAGTCACCTGCTTTACGTCAACTATACAGGTAAACAAGTCACACACTTACATCATTCATCTCGCTCTGCAAGCCCCATTTCTACTAATGACATATGAACTGGATACTGTTCATCTTCATATAATGTCACTATTTGTTCTGGTGCCCGAGCCTAAAATTAAGAAGCAGTTGTCAAGAAAACACAATAATGTTTTTGCTGCCTTTTCCTGCCTATGTCTGGCAGGAGGGAAAAGGCATTCTCAAGCTTATTTGTAATTTATATTCTGTACTTTTAAAAGGCATATGATGTTTTCCTACTAAGTCATATTTTTTCCATCCTCCTTTATTTAAAATGTAACTCCTTTCCAAACTTTTCCTAGATTGAGCCAACAGGCTTTAAATACTACTATCCCTGTTAAAATTTATTTACATTCTATACATTAAGCATTATACATCTGTGCAGAAACTGACCAAAGTTTGTATGTTACTCACAGAGGTGAATAAATAAATGTGTATCTTGAAGAACACTTACTTGCCCTGTCTGTATTTTCTTTCAGGGGCTTCTTGGGAGAAACTGTGCACAAGCTATTTACACCATTCTGCATACATAGGAGCTGGATACGTACAGAGGTTTTCAAAAAGCACTTTCTAGTTAACAGCAGTGTTTCATTAAAAGCTCATTCTTGTCACAGCCAAAACATCAGGAATCCCAAAATCTTGAGTCCCCAAATCAGGGCAGGTTGAGCCTGAGATAACAGTGTGAGGGCTGGGATGAACTGAAGAGAATGTTTCCATCTAAAAGGGTTGTTGCCACACCTCTCCAACTGACTGCCATTCGGAAGGGAGATCTAGGGTTCCTTCATTTTATAATACTTAGTCAGAAGTCAGAAGTACAGACTTTTTTGGGGGTAAAATTTTCCAATTTTAAAACACTGCACTATATAAAACGGGTATAGGCTAGATTCTGCCTGTGGGCTCCCCTTTGTGATATGCTAACCTCTAAAGAACACAGCACATTTATACCAAACATCATTTAAGTTTCTTATTTTGATACAGGTTCTACTGCATAAAACAATTCAAAATTAGTATAGTTATCATGCTATTAGTGTAATTTAAGCCTTTCTATGACTGATCAGAATTCCCCTTCTGGTCTTTCCTACTCATCTGCTAGGATGCAGTGCAGATGTGACTTTCCTGTCCTATTTCTTTAATATAAGTACTGGAGTGCCTACTAAGGAGGAGCTCAACAGCGTATCCCCATCATTCCTGCTTCATGCACCCCCCCCCCAAAGTTAACTATCCCTCTTATAGGACTTACTTCATTCTACCTCATTAATTCGTGGTTTGCATATTTCCCTCATTGACTCATCAGTTCTCTGATTATATAGGAGACTCATCTTGATCACTTTTATCTTAGTCATAACATCACTAAGACATTTTAACAAATCTTAAAATTAATCTTATAGTATTTACAGCTTTATATACTTTAAAGCATTTTTGCAACTAAAGTTGCACAGATAGAAAGCTCTTTAGAAAGTTAATAGAGATCCTAGAAATAGCTTCAAAAGGATTTTGGCAAATTAAGACATATTTACCATGGAAGAAGCATAAAGTTGTTTTCCTTGAAGACAGTCTATCATAGCCCACAAAGCTTCCATGCTCCATTTGGGACAATATGGTATTCTTGTCTTTCCTGAATCTTTTAAGGGAGGTTTAAATCCTGCCAACAGAACCTTTATGGCTCGGGCTGGATACTGCATAAGGTGAAGAGGAATCTGACGTAGTCTGTCACAAAAGAAATTCTTAAAATGTTCAGAATGTTACAATTAAAATTCTCTAATAGCTAAAACTGTAAAATGGGAAGTTTGGATTTGACAATGATTTCTTGGCCATAACACCAAAAGCACAGGCAATGAGAAAAAAATAAATTGGACTACATCAAATTAAAAATGGCAAAGGAGCCCTGGCCAGTGTGGTTCAGAGGTTAGAGCGTTGGCTCTCGAACTGAAGGGTCACAGGTTCGCTTCCTGGTCAATGGCACCTATCTGGGTTGCAGGTTTGATCCCTGGCCCTAGTCAGGGTTCGTGGGGGGAGGCAACCAATTGATGTGTCTCTCTCACATCAGTGTTTCTCTCTCCCCCTCCCTCCCTTCTACTCTGTCTAAAAATCAATGGAAAAAATATTCTCAGGTGAGGATTAACAAAAAAAACCCCAAACCAACCAACCAACCAACCAACCAACCAAGTGAAAAGGCAACCTACAGAATGAGAGAAAATATACACTAAAATATAGACATTTCTTCAAAGAAGATATATAAAGGGCCAACACACACACAGTAAGATACTCAGTATCACTAATCATTAGGGAAGTGCAAATCAAAGCTACTAATGAGATACTATCTCACACCTATTAGGATGGCCACTATCACACAAAAAATAAGTGTTGGTGAGGATGTGAAAACTAGAACCCTTGGACACTTAGTGGAAATTTTAAATGATATAGCTGCTATGGAAAACAGTTTGATAGTTTCACCAAATACTAAAAATAGATTGAGCATATGACCCAGCAACTGCACTTCTGGGTACATACCCAAAAGAACTCAAAGCAGGGTCTTAAAGAGGTATCTGTACACCCATAGCAGCATTATTCACAATAACCAAAAGGTAGAATCAACCCAAGTGCCCAATGATGGATGAATGGATACATGAAATGTAGTATTATACATACAGTTCAGCCTTAAGAAGGAACAAAATTCTGATACATGCCACAACTTGGATGAACCTTGAGAATATTATGCTCAGTGAAACAGCCAGTCACAAAAATGAAATACTCATACCTAAAATAGTCAAATTCATACATACAAGAGTGGTTGCTGCCAGGGGCTGGGTGAGGGGAGATGGGAATTTCTGTTTAATGGGTACAGAATTTCAGTTTTGCAAAATGAAAAGATTTCTGAAGAATTGGTTGCACAACAATGCAAGTATGATTAACACTACTTAACTATACATTTAAAATTGGTTAAGATGGTAAATTTTGTGACACCCGTATTTTACCACGATTTAAAAAGATACTACAAACACTACCAACCCTCCCTCCCCCTGCTCCACAAATAACAGTGTTGGCTAGGATGTGGAGAAACGAACCCTTAGCATTGCTGGTGGGAATGTCAAATGATACTGCTGCTATGGAAGTTTGGCAATCCTCACAAAGTTAAACACAATTACTGTATGATCCAGCAATTCCACTCCTAGGTATATACCTAAAAACCGAAAGCAGGGATTCCAACAGCTACTTGTACGTGTTCAGTGCAGCATTATTCACAATAGCCAACAGATGAAAACAACCCAAGTGTCTAACAGACAAATGAACAAAATGTGGTATATACATACAATGGCATATTATCCACAAAAATAATAAAATTCTGATACATGCAACAATTGGATGAACTCTGAAAACATTACTCTGAGTAAACTAAGTCAGACACTAAAGGACAAATACTGTATGATTATACTTGTATGAGGTAGAATATGTGGTATCAGGAGCTAAGGGAAGGGGAATGGAATGTTACTGTTTAATGGGTACAGATTTTCTGTTTGGGATTTATGAAAAAGTCCTGAAAGTGGATGGTGGCAATGATTGCACAACACTGTGAATATCCTTAACGACAATTAATTGTATACTTAAAAGTACCTAAAATGGTAAGTTTTGCATTTATTTTACACCACAAAAAAAACTTACATAAAAAAATTCCCAGTACGTGAAGAGCTTTAAAATATTTTTTTAAGAGGTAAGATCGTCCCAATAATTATAAAAAACAAAACAAAAAAGAAAACTAAGAATCTTAATTCAAGTAAGTTGACTTTTTTTTAACCTGTTTGTCGTCAGTTTTTCAGTTGATCCGTAATCCACAAATTGAACCAGGATGGCTAGAGGATTAAATTCCTTAATGGAAACAATCTTTGCTCTATACCATAAGCCATCATCATATTCTGCAAGGCAAGGCATTTCTGGAAAGACAGAAAAAGGGAAAAGATCACATTGCCTTTTATTTTATTAATGTTTTTTAAAAAACACAGTAAAGTACAAAGAAAATGTAATCACCATATATCCATTATTCAGAATTAAACACTCAACAATTAGCTATATGTTGGCTTGTGCTTTTCTGTTTAGACTTTATAAACCTTGAAGAAAAGCATTCTCCCATTCTCACGGTTCCTAGTCCAGCTGTTGCCCAGGGCTTAGGTCACCCTTCCACGGTCCCCACCTCTATATTCCCCAAATCTCTTTACATTTGGGCCATCATTTTCTGCAAAGGATAATAAAACGGTTTCTGCGATTCCTGCTTTCAAGTCTGTCCCCCACCAACATATCCTCTCTTCTCAACATATATCCACAACCTGGTAATGTGCCCTGACTGGGAATCAAACCCGCAATACCTTTTGGTGTATGGGACAATGCTCCAAACAACTGAACCACTGGCCAGGGCTATGCTCTTTTTATGATAAACATCTCTTTCAAAGATCAGCTCCAACATGACTTCATAAAGCCAACTCCTATCATGGTCTCTGTGACCCAATGGCATCAGGCACACAGCTTTAGTATGAGTTGTTGTTCTCACAGTGGATTTGTTCACATGGCCCTTCTCTTCTTCCCCACTAGTTCTCACGCATCCCCATCATGTACCTAGTACAAACCTTTGTTCAGTAAAAAATGTGCTAATGCTTGCCAGGCTTGAGTAAAGTTAAGGAACAATGAGTATAATAGTATGTGCTTCAGAGCAGACAGAATACACTGGGTTCCTATCTTGCTCTACTTCCACCCCTCCATTTCTTTATCTTCTACGAAATTTCCACAAAGAAAAGTAGTTGTGGGCAAGTGGCATTTAAATATTGCATGACTCTAATGTTGAGGTTTTTAAAAAATTTTTATCAGAGTTGTAAATGATTTGAGTATATAGAGGTTATCAACAGAAGAGTAAGAATCTCATCTATTAGAGCTGTCTGGATAGTAAACAACTGATTGAATCATAGTTAACAGTCCCCTCCAACCTTTATCATTTCCAGCCTCGAAAATTTGGCTGAAGTTACATCTCAAAATAGCACCGAAAAAACTCCACCTAATTGTCCTGTTATTTTAAATCCACAAAGCAACTCCTTCAACATAAATTCCATTAATAAGGCACTTGCTTATGAATCAACAGGTACATGTGCATACTAAAGAATAAAGGATCTACAGAAGAATGTACAAATATGTGTACAGCTCCCTGAATCATCACATCACGCAGATTGTGGAAGAACTGTTTTTTCCAGACTATAAATCTGAGTTTACAAAAATAAAAATGAATTTACTCTTTCAACAGATATTTATGAGCACTTGCTTCTGCAAGGTTCCCTAATTGGTGGTGACACAGCAGTACAGGGAGTCCCTATTTAACAAACGAGTGTAGGAGGCATGGAATATGATGGGGCAGGGAGGGTGGCGGGCAGTGCCACTCATACAGGGGGTCAGGGAACACCTGCAATAGTGGGAAAATTGGGCAGAGACCTAAACTGCTCACAGTGGGGGAAGAACATTCCAGGCAGAGGGAACTGCAAGCACTGTTTATCAGCCAAACATGGGTCACAACTGATAAAAATCTCATTGAGTAAACTCAGGTATATCAGGCCTGTTTTCTTTTGCTTTAGCATATCCTCTGTATGTATACAACACCCAGAATAAACACACCTCTCTATATCACATAAGGACAGAAATGCAGACACACCACTCAGTACTTATGAACTGTTGACACAAGTAAGTAGTGTACTTCACAGGAGGATCACATATAGTAATGAATATGAGTAAAAATAAATTATAAATAAAAAAAGCAGGGTTTGACCTACTCTGAGAGGACAGGATACAACCTGAGCTCCCATGCCCCTACTCTAAAATCATCAGTTCAGGTGGCTTGCAATTAAAATGACTGCCATTTGGGTCTGAATAGCAACTCTCACAATTTGAGCTAGTGGCAAAACCTCAAGCTTAGACAAAACATCTTTGTGCAATTTTCCAATGAGCTGAAGTTCTGGAAAATGAAAGTGCCCAGGCAGTACTTACCTTCTCTTAGATGGCTTAGAAAATGGGGAAGGTCATCTACAACATCTTGAGGATTCAGAGATCAGCACATCCAGGGAGTGTGATAACATTAGAAATCACCAACCTCTTCAGCCCATTCAAATAGAACAAGTTTCACTAAGAATCCCATTGTATTTAGAAAGTGTGGGCTACCTGTTCTGAAGTCCGTCAGAGGCAGGAAGTTCTCCACATTAGTATTGAACCTCCGCAGAGCTTCATTGAGGCTCTCAGACTCAGATTCCCAGCTGACTCCACTGTCATCTGTGTCACTATGCTGGTTACCGAGATTACAATTTTCTACAGAATCAAGGCAAATATACACCTAAGTGGGGGGAAGGAAAGAAGAAAACTTTCAAATTCTTTAATTTTTAGTATTCATTTCTACAGACAAAATCACTACAACAGACTGTCTCCAACAATGGCCCCAATGATCCTTTGTAAAGTTCCTCTCTCACATCATACCAGAGTTGATTTTTGTGACCAAAAGAACATGAGAAAGGGATGGTGACTGCCGAGATCAGATTATAGAAGACGTGAGGCCTCCATCTTGGTGGTGCTGTCATTGACTGCTCTTTCTGGGAGGCTTGCCCCGTGGGCCAATTCAGACGCCCACAGGGAAAGGCACTGAGCCCTCTCATGCAGCATAATGTGAGGGGTTTTTTTAACCCTCACCCAAGGAATAAGGATATTTTTTCCATTGATTTTAGAGAGTGGAAGGGAGGGGCGGAGAGAGAGGGGAGAGAGAGAAACATCAATGTAAGAGAGACACATGGACTGGTTGCCACCCACACACCCCTGGGGAGCAAACCCAAAACCGAGGTACGTGCCCTTGACCAGCAATTGAACCTGTGACTCTTTGGTTCGAGGACCGACACTTTAACCACTGAGCAACACCAGCCAGGGCATGTGAGTCTTTTCGAAAGTGGACCCTGCGATGCCCTCCCCCTCCCCCACCATCTTGATTGTGACCTTGAGAGATTCTGAGCCAGTAACTGAATTAAGGAGCTCCTGATTCTTGATTCTCATGTGTTGTTTTAAGCTGCTAAATTTGGGGTAATAACTAATACAAAAAATTATAAAAACCAACAGTAATTGTACACTCCTATGCTCTCTGATGAAACTGTAGAGCAGATCCTTTCCTTGCCACTGAAGGAAAGGTTTACTGTGTAAACTGGCTGAAGGGACTGCATTACTGCACCATCATTGCTTGCTTTCTTGTTGGCCAAGATGTTTTCTTTAGTGTACTTATTCATTCAGTTCATACTGATTGAGTGCCTCCTATGTATCAGGTAGTATTCTAGGTTCTGGTGACACACCAGTGATCAAAACAGACAAGAATCCCTGTCTTCGTGGAGTGACATTCTAGTGGGGAAAAGCAGACATTGTAAGAAAGTGCAGAGGGCATCAGAAGGTGATCACTGGTATAGAAACATACAGGGCAGTGTGACAAGTGTCTAGATTTTATGTAGGAAGAGGACAGGGGAGTGAGATGTCTAAGATTTCATAGGTGGAAATAGGTCCAGTTTAAAAATCTAAATATTTGACATAAATATAACTACAGCAACACTGGGAGAAACAGCCAGTACTTAAGAAATACTTGCCTTATTAAGTATAAACAAGTATCTGAACAGGAAATTACAGGGTGGGCAAACTAGAGGTCACCAAGTTTCAATTAAAGTCAGTAAGATGGAAACATGAAGAATCCTAGAGTTTAAGACCAATATTGCATGTTACGTTTTTAACCAACAACTAATCATGTAAATTAAATTACATACCTCATTAGGTGAGACTACATGTTTAACTTGAACAGCATAGAGTTCTTCTGGGGGAGGCAGAGATGAAGGCAAATATGGTGGTAAAATAGGGGTCTCTGTTTCAGACAAAAGCAATTCCTAAAACACCACAAATAAATTCAAATTCAGAATACTACAGAAATCCATTACACTATCAAAATTCAGGACAGTACAACTTAATTAGCAGAAAGCAAGCTCTTTGACACACTAAATACCACAAAATGGTTTTGTTATATATGCAGGACCAAAATGTGATGAGTAAATAAAAGATCTTTAGAATTCTCTTGCCCCTCAATTAAAAAAATTTTGTATAAAAAAACCCCCCACACAAATGTTTATTTATGTATACATATTTGCACATACACAATGTTCTGGAAAAAATGGTTAACAAATAGTTAACAGTAAGTAATGCTACTGTCTAGGACCAGGGTGTTTGGACGTTTTTCCTTTTCACATTTCTGTAGTATTCATTTTTAGAATAACTATGTATTTTATAACAAAAACTAAAAGAATAAAGGAAATCCCAAAAGAAAATTTAAGTAAATTAAAATCATCAAAAAAAGAAAAAAAAGAGTGCTCTCTTTTAAGCGCTATAAAAACATAAGGAGTAATAAAAAGTTACATGATTCCCAAAAGGATCATAGCAGTTAGCAGTTGTTAAAAACATATATAAAAGTGTGGGTGGTTTTTCTTTTAGAAAGTTAAAAAAAATCTTGAATATAGTAATTAACATAAAAAGTAAAATCATCACATTCAAATTTGCAAATTTACTACTACTTAACATTTCCAAACTGGTGGCAAAACAAAGCATATCTGAACCACTTAGTAGAGTTAATCAAAAAGTGACTACCCCACTGTTGAATTTGAAAGTGAATTTTGTTACAAATGACTTTACAACAAGCATATGGTATTTTTATAATAATAGGAATGAAGTTCTACTTATAAATGAGAACATTTTTACTTATTAAAACTCTACTTCCTTCACAAAAAATGCAAGTGACAAAATAAAAACCAGATAAATTGGACTCATTACAATGAAAAACTCTGGTGCCACCAAGAAAGTGGAAAGATAACTCAAAGAACAGGAGAAAATATTTGCAAATTATCTATCTGATCAGGGACTTGTATACAGAATATATAAGGAACTCTTACAACAATAAAAACAGGAAATTACAGGGTGGGCAAACCAGAGGTCACCAGCTAAAACCCAGCTAAAAAAGGGGCAGAGGACTTTTTTCCCCCTTTATTTTTATTTTCTATTTTTTCCTAGTCTTATTGAGATATAATTGATATATAACCCTGTGTTAGTCCAAGGTGGACAAAATGATCTGATATAGGTACATACTATAAAATGTTCCACAATAAGTCTAGTTAACATTAATTGGCTCACATAGTTAGAAAACCTGTTTTTCTTCTGATGAAAACATTTAAGATTTATTCCCTTAGCAACTGTCAAATATACAACATAGTGTTAACTACAGTCACCATGCTGTACATTATATCCCCAGGACTTAATTATCTTATAACTGAAGTTTGTACCTTTTGACCATCTTCACCAATTTTCCCCACCTCTAACCCCCCACCTCTGGCAACCACCAATCTTTCCTCTGTATCTATGAGCTCAGTTTCTTTAGATTCCTCATATAAGTTAACCAAATGGTATTTGTCTTTCTCTTATTTCACAATATAATGACTTCAAGGTCCATCCATGCTGTCACACATGGGGTTTCCTTGTTTATGTCTCAATAATATTCCATAGTGTGTGTGTGTGTGTGTATCCATATCTCTATCTACCTATCTCTCTATATAGATACACCACATTTGCTTTATCCAATTGTCTATCAATGGACAATGAGATTATTTCCATGTCTTTGCTATTATAAATAATGCTGCAGTGAATGTAGGGGTGCAGGTATTCAAGATAGTGATTTTGTTTCCTTTGGATACATACCCAGAAGGGGACTGCTGGATCATACGTAGTTGTATTTTTAATTTTCTGAGCAACCTCCATACTGTTGTCCATGGTGACTGCACCAATTTACATTCCTACCAACATTGCACAAAAATTTCCTTTTCTTCGAATTCTTGCCAACACTTGTCTCTTTTCTTTTTGGTAACAGCCATTCTAAAAGGTGTGAGGTGATATCTCATTTGGAGTTTTGATTTGCATTTCCCAGATTAGTGATGTTGAGGATCTTTTCATGTACCTATTGGCTATTTGTATGCCTTTTTTTGAAAAATGTCTATTCCGATCCTCTGCCCATTTTTTTGTTTGTTTTTTAATCCTCACCTAAGGATATTTTTTCATTGACTTTTTTAGAGAGTGAAAGGCAGGGAAGGAGCGGGGAGAGAGAGAGAGAGAGAGAGAGAGAGAGAAAGAGAGAGAGAGAAAGAGAGAGAGAGACATCGACGTGAGAGAAACACATTGATTGGTTCCTTCCTGCACGTGTCCCGACTGGGGCCGGAGATCAAACCCGCAACCCAGGTATGTGCCTTTGACTGGGAATCGAACCTGTGACCCTTTGGTGCTCAGGCCAATGCTCTAACGGCTGAGCAACATCGGCCAGAGCTGCCCGTTTTTTTAATTGGATTTCTTTTTTTTGTTTTTCTAGTGAGTTGTATGACTTCTTTATGTATTTTGGATATTAGCCATTTATCAGATATATGATCTGTGAATATTTTCTCCCATTCAGTAGGCTGCCTTTTCATTTGTTGATTGTTTCTTTTGCTTTGCAGGTGCTTTTTAGTTTGATGTAGTCCCACTTGTTTAATTTTGTTTTAGTTGCCTTTGGTTTTGGCATCAAATCCTAAGCAGAGGATTTGAACAGAAATTTCTCCAAAGAAAATATACAATGGCCAAAGAGCACATGGAAAGATGCTCACCATCACTGATCATCTAATAAATGCAAATCAAAACCACAATGAGATACCACACTTCACACCTATCCTAGGATGACTAGGAAAAAAAGTCACGTAACAAGTGTTGCTAAGAGTATGGAGAAAATGGAACCCTTGTACATTCCCAGTACAAAAGGAAAATGGTACAGCCCCTTTAGAAAACAGTCTTGTAGAGTTCCTTAAAATGGTAAACAAAGTTTCAGTAATTCTACTCCTAAGTCCATACTCAGGAGAAGTGAAGACAGACAGACCTAGTAGACCAAAAGACTTGTACACAAATGTTCACAGTGTTTTACAATTGCAAAAAGGTGAAAATAACCCATGTCCATCAACAGATTAATGGGTAAACAAAATGTGGTCTATTCACACAATGAAATATTATTCAGACATAAAAAGGACACATACTACAACATGAAGCTTGAAAACATTATGCTGAAGGAAAGAAAGCCAGTCACAAAGGGCGTTGTATTGTGTGATTCCATTTATGAGAAATGTTTAGTAGAGGCAAATCCACAGAGGCCGGAAATTCACGGTCTCCAGGAGACTGGGGAAGGGGAGCATGGGAAGTAACTGCTGCTGGCGAGGTTTCTTTTTGGGGTGATGAAATATGGAATTGATAATCATGATGATTGCACTTTGTGAATGCAACTCTATGAACATACTAAAAGCCACTGAATTGTACATTTTGAAAAGTTGAAATTTATGTATGTAAATTATATCTCGATGAAGCTGATATAAAAGAAAATGCTTATTTCCTGATTTTATATTAGATTGTTTGTATTGATCAAGTGACCACAGTTTCCAAAATATTGGATTGAAACTTACCTCAAACCTTATTTCCCATCTTTTCTCCTCATACTTTTTACTGTAATCTGTTGGTTTCTGAAATACAATGTTATTAAGAATAAAACCACCTTTATGTAATATCATTTTCAGGCACTTTCATATTTCATCTCCATAAAAACTGGGTGCATGTCCTTGTTGGCATTCATTTAGTTATTTCAGGTTAACTATGGGAAAATCTAATGTTCTGAGTAATCTGAATATTGCAACAGTAAAAACTCTCAAAATTATGCTAAACATTTGTCAACTGTAATTAGTTTACTGTAAGAGAGTGGGAGGCCCTATCTTTCCTTTTAAATCTTAACACTGAAGAGTAATATTGAAAGAGACTAAGTAATCTTTATAAAACCTGTTCAGCAGATGAAACACCTTTTACACAAACACACTGGGGGGAAACGAGCATGCACAAACCCTTCTTCTTAAAAGAAAAAGCTGGTGGTAAGGATTACATGTACAAAGTTAAGTAGTATCACAGTTTCCATTTAAGAGAAGAAGCAGTTTTCTATACTAAACTGAACACTCAGTGTTTCATTTTCTTCTATCACTAAAATGAATATTCAAAAAACTAACAAGTGAACTCTAAGTCTAGAAATTAAAATATGTGGCCATATGAAATGTTATTATTTATGATGAATACCCTATTTCTAGAAAGTACTTATCTGTAACAGGCTAATTATGATTTTTAAAATATTAAAAACAGAAACAGCAAGCAACTGGACTGGGCTATTTATTGAAGCTAAGCTTAAAATCTGGCTCTGAGTTTCCTGTAAGCAGGCAAAATGGGGGGAATGTTATAATACCAAATAAAAGAAAAAACATTTTATCTGGGAGAGAGTCCTTTTCTGGCAGTGAATTCTATTAAGATTTTATTACTTACATCTCTATATTCAAACAACACTGGCTAACATACAGGCTTCTCACTAGGTCTGAAGGTACAGAAACATTAGGTTAGGGTTAGGGTTAATCTTTTGCAGGACAATATAAAGCATGATATAGTGTATTGCTTTCTCAATAAACAAATTTCTAAATTCTCTATTCTCTCAACATATGAAACATGTAGAAGCATATATAAGACAATATAGAACATTTTAATCAGAATTTGTTTTTCTATAATTTAGGTTTTTACAGAAAAATAGTTCACTTACTTCTTTCAATATTGCCTCAGAATGTTCAAAAGTACAATAATTATGGTGTGCCATAAAGTAAGAAAGTGACATTCCATCAAAATAGAGATGAATAGATAATTTCCCCCATGGATTTTCAGGTAATTCCTATTTAAGTTCAATAAAAAAAGATTATTACTATAAAAATAAAGTCTGTTTGAATATTAAAATTTTGTAGTCAGCAAAAATGAAATTAGATTTCTGAAAATCATAGCATTACCAGTTTGACTAATGACTCATTTCATAAAATTTTCTTCATGGTATTTTGGCAGGTTATGATGTAGTAATTATATTATTTTGGTTTTTGTAAAATATATTTACATGTCAAAAGGTAGAGAGTTTTATACTTATTTACTATAAAATAATTTGCTATATATAATTTACTACACCTCATTTTTAGATGATACTAATAATTATACCAAGTAGAAGGAGAACAAAAAGTTATTTTCAGGGGTAAAAAAATGAAGTTTAGTTAAAAATTCAAGAATGGCAGAAATGGAAGAGATTAATAGCAGTCTACAAGGTGTCATGATAATGGCTCTTCAGTCCCTGGACTGTGATCAGGTACTAAGCAGACACATACTCACCAGCTGATCTGTCTCATCCTCTCTCCTTTACCACCTGAGTCCAGAGTCAGGTCTCTGCTGAGTTTCTATAATTGCCTGCCAGCAGAGCTCCCTGCTTCTATCTTTTTCTACTATCCAGTTTCTAGTAGGGCAGAGTGAAAACACTAGAATGTAAGATCAGATCATGTCACTCCCTTACTCAAACCTTCAAATGGCTCTCCAGGTTAGCCTGACAGCAGAGATCTCACAAGTCTCCTTGCTTCTCCGCTTCTTCTCTCATTCCTCCTGCTCCAGACACAGAGGCTCCTTGGCCGCCCTTGAACACTTTAGGTGCCCTCTTGTTTTGGAGCCCTTTGCACTATTCTCCCAGTATCCACATGGCTTGTGCTCATTCTAAAGTCTTCACTTGAACTTTACCTTTGTAGTGATGTCTTTCCTAAATACTATATTTAAAAATGTGACTTCCTCCCTGGTCTCACCTCTCTTTGTCATCCTTTCCTGCTTTATTTTTCTTCCCAGCACCTGTCACTACCTAACATATCTTATATTTTATGTTTTTAATTTTGTTTCCCACCACTAAAATGGAAGATCCATGAAAGCAGGGATTTCTGACTATTCAGTTCATTGTTGTATCTCCAGATCTAGGGAGGGTTTGGTAGGTGGTAATGGCTGCAGGGCATGCAAATCCATGGCTTCTGAGACACTGAGCAGCATTTGGTACACAGCAGCTCCTTTAATTAAAACACTGATAAGATGCCTAGAAATTTAACTTCATTTCGCTTAAAGTCACAGAACTTAATAAGCGAGAGCTTACCGTACTACAAGTTGTTCTGCTACGTTAAACCAAGCAGCAAAGAAAGCTACCTTGATAAACTAAAGTCCCACAGATGCAATGAGTCACCAGAGGGGCTCTGCGTACTAACCGAGCAACATTAAAAGCTGCTCTTTCTCATTCAAGTGGGTCTATGACTCTTCTTAAGTCTTTATCACCCTATCATCACAGCTTTCATATAGAAATACTTTCCTTATAGCTTAGTATCTTTCTACTGGAATCCTCAAACACAACTGCAGATTAATCTTAACTCATTGCTCAGAAACCTCCAATGGGGCCCTACCGACTGACCTCTACCTTTCTTAAATCCTATTCACTGTTATTTTTTTAAAAATCCTCACCCAAGGATATTTTTTCCCATTGCTTTTCAGAGAGAGTGGAGGGGAGAGAGAGGGAAGAGG